CCACTGGGAATGAGTTGAACACCATCTACAGACTGTCAGAGATGGAGTGTGAGGCAGATACCTTGAGGAAGAGTCAAGAATTACTCCAAAAGAGTTATTTGCCAATATCTATAAGGGAAGTAAATAAATGAATGAAGAAATTTGTGGCACACAGCTACTAAATAGCAGATCTGAGATTGGCCACTGGGTTTGTGAGATGTATTCATTTCCCTTCCAAGCATGGATGTGTGAACCTGCCTTTGGAAAAAAATGATTCTGTGCTTATGTATGTACAGTCCGGCCACTCCAGGGGGCATGAGGGCGTCTTGAACACCAGAAATTCCTGTTTGAGGAACTTCTGTACTCACTCAGCCAGTCGCGACAAGAGATGGGGTTGTCAGCGTACAGTTAAAAAGGAAACCGAATCAACTAGATGCCCATCAGCACATGAATATATATATAAATGTGACAATACAGACTCAGAAAGACAAAAACCACTTGTTCTCACTCATATGTAGACCCTAGCCGGTAATGTTTAGGTGTACACACACACACACACACACACACACACACACACACACACACACACACGGTGGTAACAAATATCAACCAAACATAAAAGCTATAAAAAGAAACAAAGAAAGAGCAAAAGTAGGTGATGATGAAGGACAGTGAGTGGGTAATAGGACTCATGACATGAAAGAGTAAAAGAGACTGGGGAAGTTGCAAGAGACAGTTGCTGGAGACAGAAGCAGGAAAAAGTGTCACATGCTCTCAAAACAGGGCTGCGTCTGTAAAACCTTCGAAAACATCTCTTGTCTAAAGTGCCTACTCCAATCTCACCACCTACATGGATGTAACACGAAAAGCATTGGCTTTCTGTTTTCAGTACTTAACAATATTGACTTGGGGTGGAGAGGTTGTTCCATGCATAAAGTGTGCAAGAATGCAAGTTTGGATTCTCAGCACCCACAGAAAAGTTGGGTGTGATAGCAGACATCTGCAGCTCCAGTTTAGAGGGCTTGAGACAGTCAGGTTCCCAGAGCCATTGACAGCCATTCCAGCTGAGTCAGTGAATTCCAGGCTCAGTGACAAAGACCCTCTCTCCAAAAACAAGATGGAAAGTGATGAGGAACATATCCAGTGTCAATCTCTGACCTCCATTACACATATGTGCACACACTCACATACTAAATAACCATTACGTTACACAAGCTGAAACGTAACAAAAATAACTCATTCCCTGTGGAGTGGGAGGATGGGATGGGAGGATGGGGGGGGGTCATGGGAGGGAGGGAGAGAGGGAGGAAGAGAAGAAGAGGAGATAAGAAAAATTTTTAAAAGAATAACTAGCTCAATAGTATTAAAAAGTAGAAACAAGGCTCAACAAATCAGTTTTCCTAAGTTTTAAAGCCAAAAGGAAACTAGGCATTTTCTTGTAGTAACACCAACAAGTTTATAAAGTATTGATTGTTTTTATTAGACTGAGTTAAAACGAATCAGCCAACTTTTCTTATATTCGTAGAGGTCTCCAGTTTGTACTTTTAGACACTTTAATTTATAACAAACTAGAAAATGACACTAACACACATGAAAAATAGAGTCTGTAGAGGAAAATGATAAAATACACTTCTGGGAAGAGCCCAGCAGTGCTTCTGGACGAGCTTGCAGCCAACGGCGTGGACTTGTGTGAGACTAGGAGGCCGCATACCCTACAGTCCAACCTTCACCTCAGGGAAGTTTAAAGGCCAGTTTGTTAAATAATCTCCATGAGGGTGTGGCAAAAAACTGCCACATCTAAGTTCAGTTTCTTTTAAGCCCTGGATGGAATCAGGGGGAGGGAGGATGCTTTCTGCCTTGCTTAATTATTTAAATGACTTTTCTTCAATCCCAGGGCTGTTTCCCAAAGTGGGATATAATCTGCCACACCATAAAACCATGTCAGCCCAGTGGGAATTGAAGAGTTAAAGCTCAGTAAACCTACACTGAGCTTGCTCATATAAGGCAGTCTCCTGACTCCCTGGAGCACTTGCCTTAGAGAAAAGAAAATTATCCAGCCCCTCAGAAGTGTGCACATCTGCAGAAGGAACTGTGTTCTGAGATTTCATCACAGAGAGTGCCCTGCTGCCCTTTGCCATAGATGCACAGAAATGCCCTATAGGCTAAAATAAGATGTAGGGACTGAGAGAGCAGCCGAAAATAAAAGGACCTGAACTTGCTTCAATTTCGAACTTGTGGATTCCATTCTCCTGAAGAAAAAAAAAAAAAAACAAAAAAAACAAAAACAAAAAAAAAAAAAAAACCAAAAAAAAAAAAACACATCCAAGTCAAAATCAGGTCTAAATTGTCGTAGCTGTTTTCTATAATTAATAGACGAGCACTTAGCATGTGAAAGCAAGAAAGCAAGAAAGGGCAGACTGGCATTCGTTGGACAGTTTTATAAACTGTCATGACCTGGGAAACAACAACAGAAATATTAGCAAAGTAATCGCAGCAGTTCAATTAGAGTAGAATCCATTCGGAGAGGGGACTTTGGGTAAGGAGGAATGGCTGTAAAATGAGAAAACATGATAGGGTTGACAACTTCCTGGCCAAGGCTTTGAGTATCTGGGTGTAAATCTGTTTGGATTCTTGATGCTAATATGCTTTCCTAGCAGAGATTAGAACAACCACTCTGGTAGCTGGTACAAGTGCTTGTTAACAGACACCGCAGACATTTGCATACCTGGAACTACCCTTAAAAATGCATAACAACATTTCTTGGAAAGTTATTGTATAAACACAGAGTCCTTGACAAATCACCACATGATAATCCCCAAATGTCCATTCTGGCCTATTTATTTATTTATTTACTAACTTACATTTGAAGAATAAAGAGAAACTAAGTCTTTAAAAAAGTAATAGATAATCAAAATATTGAATAATCTTTGTCCCCCAACCTCGTCGCTACCAAAGGTTTTCTTTCCTGTTACTGACAGGAACAGAACTGCCACCAATGTTTCATTAATCTTCTCTCTCTTTTTTATGCACATGCAAAGACAAAGCATAGGATCATTTGCTACACTGGTGATAATTTTCTGTGAACACATCAAATCAGGTTGTCCCTGGCTTTTGGCTTTTGCGTCTGTGACATATTTAACACAACGTAGCTCCTGGGGACTTAGAACAGGTGCAGCATGAGAGATTCAAGACAGCTCTGTCTACTTTGTAGCTCAGGACTCTGAGCTTTTCCCTCCGTCACATTTAAAAATTAAACCACACATGAGGACAACTGACTTCGGCATCTGGCCCTTCCATTGAAATAGTTGGTGTTAATACAAAGCTATATCTAGATTTTGAACCCAAATCTATATAAAATATACTACTTAACATGATCCTTAGTAAAGACATATTCAGCTGCAAATTCTAAAATCACCGATGTGATGTGTTTTACTTTAAAATATGAGCTAGACTCACCTACTTATTTTAACCTATAAATGAATAGGCTTATTATTGTTTTAAATTTACACTTTATTTTTACTCCCCCTTCAAAAGAGACAAACTATGCACTTTTACCTAGCAACTTCTTTTTGTCAAGCCTCCATCTTTTCTACAATGGTCCAGGGAATGCCAGGCAAACTTTGCAGGGGAGCAAAAGGAATAGGTAAGGCCCTTGATGCCAATTTGGATCCAAAGTGCATTAAAGCAGCAGAATCCTAACCCTTTGAAAGGTAGGATTTATAAGGGGAATGCTAACACAGATTCAGCGGTGCCAGGCTGCCAGGGATTATACTAAGACCAAAAGCATACTCGTTCACTTTAGACTCGGAGATTATGCAGCTGTCAAACAATAAGGCTTGTGTTTACTTGTTTATTTTTTTTCACTTTTTAAAAAGTTCATTTATTTTTTTGCCTTTCCCAGGCATTGCTGAAATAATATGTCCATTTGGAAGGGAGGCGTTTCAAAGAGTAGAGAAAGGGGAGGACAGTAGGGTTGGTCTCCAGCTTTGTATCCTGTTTTGTTAGAAGGGCTTTGCCAGCTCTGCTTAACTGCTTCTGTCCTGCTTCATTAAAAAGGCACCAGGAAGGGGGAATGAGGGAAAGGGAGAAATATACCTGCTAAGGAAAAACAACAGGACACAGATGTTAAAACAGTAAGATATTTAAGTGAATGTGGGTCTAGCGGAAACGAAGTTGCAAGGGGGAAATTGGTAGGACAGAGAAAAATATTGAAAGCTCAAGAAATCTAAATCTTGGATTAAAAAAACAAAAAAAAAAAAAAAATGTCCTTCATCGTATCAAGGAGAGAAAAGCTGCAAACATGAGTGATGGATTTTCTGTTCATCGTGTCTGAATTGAAAAGGCACTAGCAGGTTAACACTGGGAGATCGGGGAGAGTAACTGACTAGAGAGAGTGGCTCAGCGGTGGGCACAAACAAGTAGCTTCAAATCTAACCGAAGACTCTCTGTGGCTCTGCGATTGCTCTTTGTATCATTCTGGCTGTGTAAATTCTCTCTGAAAAGTTGTGGACACTACGGCAGCAAGTGTAAGGGAGCATTTGAAGATGTCTCTCACAGACCCCAGACTTAGAAACCCTGAGCAGCAAAGAAGTCTGGAGTAGAAGAATGCACAGACACAAACCCCCAAGTTGCATGCAGTAAAGCAAAACAGGAATAAGTAGCCCTTTGCTGACCCATTTGTCGAGCCTATTCTTGGTTTCATTCAGCACCCAAGACAGGCTCTTAGTTCCCATGCAAGGCTCTCCTTCCCTGGTACCCAGATACACCGAGGTGGAGCTGGTGATCTTTAAAAAACAGCAACCCCACAAACAACAAAAACCTCTCTCACTCACACAAAAGCCCACCTTGCGAATGAATGGAATATTAACGACTGCTTAACAGTTGCACCATTGGCAGGGCGAAACCCATCACTAACACAGCTCTTTCTACAGATTGCCAGTGAGACCCAAGCAGCTCGAAGAGAAACGCACCTACTGTATGTGAAAGGCTGGTGCAGATTTTTTTCCCTATCAGTCTAACCTCCTGTGTTGATGCATGAATGCTGGTACCCACTTACAGGGATGCCAGATGATCAGTGCAGAATGAAGGTCCCAAGAGAGGATCACATGGCTCTCTCTGCCCTGTGACGTCACTAGCAGATGGCATGGGTACCAGCTCTGGCAGTTGGCATCAATGTCACTTTTTAGAGATCAATGAGATAGTGCAGATACACACAGATCTAGAGGCTCCAGGAGACGATGCGACACTCAGCCTGAAAAGATTTGGAAGATCCAAAATGAAAACTGATTATTGAATGAAATTAAAACCTAAGGTAATATAAATAAAGATATACTCAATTGATGCTGGCTTTGCATGCAAGTATTTAAAGATACAGTATCACTATCTTAGAGTATTCCTATGTTCTTTACCATCTATAAGTTCTTATCATATTTCATTCTTATGGTGTAATTATCACATACTTTCACTGCTATTATGTAACATTGTAAATGTGTGGACATTGTGTTGTGTGTGTGTTTGTGTGTGTGTGTGTGTGTATGTGTGTGTTTGGAGGGGGCTGGAGATTGTTAAATTAAAAGTCTCTGTTTTAATATGCCTATTTGGTTGAAGACTTTAGATGAAAATATTTGCTGCTTCAGCCAACAAAAACCAAAATTGCATTTTAAACACAAATTATTTTCCCCTTTCATTTGGGATTCTGAACACACGTGCACAATTGCAGGCAGAATCCTTGGACCGTTCCTGTCTGATATTAGCTAGAGGGAGACTTCCGTATCTCTTAGAACAAAAACACTAGGAGCGGAACAGCAGTAAACAGACAATTACATTGGGGGAATTCCTAGATGTTAAAGCAGTTGCAACATTTGCTTTGATTTAAAAAAAAAAAAATGCCAGTAATATTTGTGGGTTTTTTCATTTGTTTATAGTTGTATTTTCAAATTAGCCTAATGTCCCTTTCCTTGAGGCTGAGAAAGCAGTACTCTTTTTACATAGTTCTTTACTCATCAGGGGGGAAAAATCAATTTCAAAATTGATCTAATTAATCTTTTCTTTAAATTCGTGTGTTCTACAGTCATTTATCAAAATTTACAGCTTGATATTAACAGGAAATAAAGTTGGAAGTTAATTTCTTCTGACAAAACCCCTCAAATTTGTCATCTTAAGAGAGAGGCAGCACTTTTCGTTTTGAAAATTGGTTTCTCTTCTATTTTGTTCTCAGGAGAATTAGAATTTATGAAAATCTATATTATTATATTATGCTTTTATTTGCTTGAACTCCTCTTCGTGTGTGTTAAAAATCTAGTTTAAAATCCAAGACAAATGAGAAATGTGATGGTTTCTAATAAGTATTTCCTTTCATATTTTCCTTTGATAATTTGCCTGTATAAATTAATGCTACTGCATGAATCAATGTTTTTATGATTGTTAATCTTCACAAACTCAGTTTTTTTTTTTAAATTTAATGTAAATATGAGTCCTGGAACCAGTCTTTTTCATGTGCTCTCAGAGCCTTACGATTAAGTCATCAAATATATTTGAAGTGTGTTAACTCTAAAAATGAAAACATTTTCAATATTGTGCTGACATTTTTTCCAGGTAATTTAAGGTTAAAGAGCCATGTTAACACTACCGTTTGACGAGTCTGTCATAATGCCCGAATCCCAGATGTGCAGAAAGTTTGCTAGACAATGTGAGGACCAGAAACAAATTAAGAAACCGGAGAGCTTTCCCAAACAAGTTGTCCTTCGAGGAAAGAGTATTAAACGGGCCCCTGGAGAAGAAACCGAGAAAGAAGAGGAGGAGGAAGACAGAGAAGAAGAGGATGAAAATGGCTTGCCCAGAAGGAGAGGTCTCAGGAAAAAAAAGACCACCAAGCTACGACTGGAAAGGGTCAAGTTCAGGAGACAGGAAGCCAATGCTCGCGAGAGGAACCGGATGCATGGCCTCAACGACGCTCTGGACAATTTGCGAAAAGTGGTCCCCTGTTACTCTAAAACCCAAAAACTGTCCAAAATAGAAACTTTACGCCTGGCCAAAAACTACATCTGGGCACTTTCTGAAATTCTGAGGATTGGCAAGAGACCAGATCTGCTCACATTCGTCCAAAACTTATGCAAAGGTCTTTCCCAGCCAACTACAAACTTGGTGGCAGGCTGCTTACAGCTCAACGCCAGGAGTTTCCTGATGGGTCAGGGTGGGGAGGCTGCACACCACACAAGGTCACCTTACTCCACATTCTACCCACCCTACCACAGCCCTGAGCTGGCCACTCCCCCAGGGCATGGGACTCTTGATAATTCCAAGTCCATGAAACCCTACAATTACTGCAGTGCGTATGAATCCTTCTATGAAAGTACTTCCCCTGAGTGTGCCAGCCCTCAGTTTGAAGGTCCCTTAAGTCCTCCCCCAATTAACTATAATGGGATATTTTCCCTGAAGCAAGAAGAAACCTTGGACTATGGCAAAAATTACAATTATGGCATGCATTACTGTGCAGTGCCACCCAGGGGTCCCCTTGGGCAGGGTGCCATGTTCAGGTTGCCCACCGACAGCCACTTCCCTTATGACTTACATCTGCGCAGCCAATCTCTCACTATGCAAGATGAATTAAATGCAGTTTTTCATAATTAATGAGGAAAATGAAAATAAACAGTGGTCATTCACCTCCCGCTCTAATTAAGACAAAGCAGATGCTTGCAGGATGAGTAATTGGCACAACTCTATCTAAGGTGTTTACTAGTTTCTGAAGTGTGTTTCAACAATTGTGAACATTTTCTATGTCATAATAAATCTCTTTTCGTATGAGAACTTCTTTTCCTTCCCTTTTGTCTGTATCACACTGTGATTCTCTCTCCTCTGGCAGGATTTTTCTTTCCTGTTTTAGTTTCTTTTAAATTCACTTAATTTGTTTGAACAAGGTGTCTAAGAATATATTGCTGAATAAAGACATGCACACGGCATAACTCAATGTCTATTTCAGTTGTACAGTAATTATGAAAATGCATGTTATGAAAATCAGATGAGTAAAATGTGTCTATAATTGCTAGGACTCATATGTGTATCTCTGAAAATTGAGTTTTTAAAATATCAAGAGTTAACCATGAAATTAAAAGAGGCATTTGAGGATGTACAACAATATTAAAAGCTATGCAATTTTCTGTTTATTAAAGACAAAACTAAATGTATTCAGTTGGTAAGAACTATTCCTCTTCAAGCATTTTCAGAGGAGAAAACACAGTGTTTGGGGGAGGTTATCAGTATCATAATTTGGGGACAATTATTTCAATCATGAAGAAAAAAAAATATTAGCACTTGTTTTGTATTGTTCCGGATTTTTCTGTACAGGTTTGTTATAGTGTATAATTGTGTTCTCCGCCCTACAGTTTAAAAGCAATTAAACATAGATATTTCCACTATAAAGGATATTATTAGCCGTGATATTTTTGCATGATACTTATTACTTCCTGACACACAGCTGCCGTCACTCTCCAGTGTTCCCTCCTCCCCATTTTAGCAAGATTTCTGGATTAAAGGGCTCAAACAAATTTCTTTAAAACAAAACAAAACAAATAGCCAAAGCATTGTCCAGAATTTTCTTTTGAAAGTATCTTAAATGAAAGAAAAGGCGCCCATGACGGTTTAACACCCTGGGGAAACAATGGTAAATCCTTCTAACCTTCATTCCAGCCTAAATTCGGTGGCAGTTTTCCAGCAGCCCCCAGAGCTGGTGTGAAAAACGGAAGCTTTTTCTCTGGGTGGGTTAAACGCCTGGCAGATTAGAACCTAAATTCTATGTGATTAGAAGTTTCCTAACACAAGACAAGCAAAAACTTGGTTTTAATATGCCAGGAGAGCTAGTCTCTTAAAACAGGGCTGAACTGCTCCTGGAGTAAAAGGTGGTCGTGACCTTGTCCAAGATGCCATCTGGGTCAGGTCTGCTTCCCAGGGTGCGGGAAGTGGTTATCTGCGCAGCCGGGAAAGGCAGCGGGACAGGCGTGCTGCATGCAGCGCTGGGCTCCGCGGGCACCGCCCGATCCAGCACAGGCCCAGCCCGGCTTGTGGGGGCAGAGCTGGGACGACACAGGTGACCTTCCGCGGCCTAGGTGGCCTTCTGGGCTCAGGCTGCGCTGTCAACATCCCGCCCGCAGTGGGCGCCCTCAAGCCTGGGGCCGCGCCCATCTAGCGGTATGGCAGCCCTTTACCAGGGACTAGCAACCCACCAGGCTGTGGAGGTGGGTAGGGGATGGCATCTCCATTTGACCGGTCTGTCGCAAGGGGCACACGGAGGCTGGGCCGCAGCTCCAGCCCGCCCAGGTGCTGACCGCAGCTGACCCTGTCCTGCTTCTCCCGCAGCTAGTGGAACTCAAGGCGTGAAGGCTATACGTCCTCAGCCCAGTCTCCAGACAGCAGCATTGCCCTGTCCCTGTCATCCCCTGGTTGGAAGCCCCAGGCCTTCCTTGTGCATGCGCTGCAGCAACCTGCAAGCAGGAAGGAGCAGCTGCTGGCGCGGGACTCGCTGGGTGATGAACGGCCGCTCCAAGCGGGTGTGAGCACCTGTTCACTCCACTCCCACGGGGCAGCGGGAAGGAAGCAGAGGTAAAAGAGGGATTGTGCCCTGCCGGGTGGAGAGAAGTTTGCTCAAGGTAGAGAGCCTTCTGTCCTCTGCCTGCTTGGGCACAGGAAGACTTGCTCCAGCTTCCTCCCCTATGCGCACAAAACCTGCTCTCCCTGGAACTGGGTCCAGAAGTACTGACCTCTTTGTGGCCCTTCAGCCATTAGGAACCTGGTCACTGCTAACCTTCCCCATCTAAGAGAACAACAAAAAAGTGAGGATTCTGGAAATGAAATATCTGTGCCCCCCACCAACACCACCACTGCCGCCGCCGCCACCAACACGAATGAACACACGCTCAATATAATTTCTTCTCGTGCAGAATAGGTGTGGTTTTCTGGTCTCCTATCCTTACTGTAGTGTACCCGGTGGCCTGACCAGAACAACACTGCGCCTGTTCAGTCTTATTGTCTCAGACAAGCTTTTGAAACCTGTGCTCTTTCCAAGGTCACGGATTCTTGTTGGAGGCAGAGATTGCAACAAGAGATAGGTTTTCCGTCTCCCTTCTGGCAAGTGGGAGAGCGAAGAAAAGAAGCAGCTGACCTAATAAGCGAAGAAAAGAATCTAGCGTTCTGGGCAAGCTTATCTCAGAGCTCAGTTCACAAGAAACTCCAGCTAGAGAATGGGGACTTCAGACTCAGACTCCAGGGAACTGGAGGCATCTTTGAGAATCTGGACACATCTGCCCTGTGTGTGCATGCTCCCTTTGTCCCTGACAGATGCAGCCATGCTGTGCGTTAGGAGGCTCCCATGCATAGTCAGCATTTAGCTGCCTCTTCTGAACTCAGCATTAGAACCACCAAGCCGCTCCTAGTACATGTCCCCGTGGCCCTCAGTTTTCTTCACCTGTTTACAGTGCTGAAAAATCAATGCATCACGGATGCTATGATGCAAAACTACTTTGAAAGGGGCCACCCCAAGTGAAAAGGAGGACAGAAGCCTACAAAGGGTTGCAGTTTAGGAGCCAGGAAGGCTGGCTTCAGCTAGATCTGAACGTCATCCTGGCTCTCTGAGGTGGCGTGTCCCTCTACCACTCAAAGGAAAAATCCTCCCCCCTGACACACTTCTGAGCTCTTCACAGCTGCTGTCATTCAAACAGACTAGGTATCTCCTCTTTGGGGCTGGATTTGGCCAGTGTTTCCTCATTCCAATTAAGAGGGGAGGAAATGGCTAAAGAATACACACCCCAAAACAATGTCTACTGGGATCTTGCTGTCCACTAGATTTAACACAAGCTAGGAGATGCTTATTTGTTTTGTAGAGTATATTTCTGCCCAGAATAAAATCAGGTCCTGTCAGTAAGATGGGAGCAAATGAGGTTGGAGAGGCACCTAGACACGCCTTTACCGCTGCTGTCAACCCAGTTCCTTGCTCCCCTTTCTGTGGCCTTGCACCCCACCCTAGACTCATCTTTCTGATTCGAATCTCCTTCTGCCTCCCCACAACCACATATGTCTGTGTTACCATATGGCCACCAGGACCTCCTAACCTCTGAGTTCACCTTTAAATCCATAACCACGGGCCTCTCGTGTGTTTCCAAAGCATGAGAAGAAAACGTGCTATCTGTCATTCATCTTGCACCCACAATCTCAGGTTGACACTTCCTCTGGTAAGACATCAGGAGACTGATTTGGCAGTTACCAGCCCACTTTTAATCAACACCATCTTCTGGGCATTTGTGCTTTTCCACGAAGCTGCTTTCTCTGTCAGTTTGTCTTTTATCACATTCCTCTCAACTATAAAGAAATACATATTTTTACTTTGGAGAGCAGGTAGCATCCAGGCTCCAACTACTGGGTGTGTTTGTTTGTTTGTTTGTTTAGTTCAAGGGCACTCCGACTCCAAAGGAGACTGGGTTGGGGAAGGTTCCAGAGCTTAGCCTGCTGCTCTGTTCAGTCTCACAGATTGTTACCCCATAGATTTACCTCTGAGTTGGCCTCACTGTGTCTGACACTTTCCCTGTGCACAGGGTGTCCTCTCTCCCATGCAGAGAAACCCAAATTCATAGCAAAGTTCCAATTTTTCCTATGAACAGTGAGCTGTATGTGAAAGGAATAATATTTTCCTTGGTTCCTTCTCTTTCTAGTCATCTCCTGGATCTCAGGACCCAGGCTCCTCTTGCCTGGACCAATGTACTGGCCTCCAAGTTAGTTCCCCCATTCCTTCTCCTCCATTTCTCCAGTGCCAGATTAGCTTTCCTAAAATACCCCAACGCACCAATCTTTTTGCAGTAACACCTCTCACGGTTCTCATTTTCTGTCTGGTAAATAAATTCATTTTAAATTTTCATTCAGCCTATATCTTCCACATTAAAAGTGAAAACAACTGTGCATATCACAGTTTAGAGCTAACGAAGCATTTTCATAGGCTCACCTTATTAATTCTAAGAGCATCATGATGACCTGATAATTGCTACAACCACATGACTTTCCTATTATAATAAACTGAGGACCAGAAACTTTGTGTCACTTTCCCATTGTCAAAAAGCAGAGCAAAAGGTCCATTTTCCATCTCTCTTCATCACCATCAGTACCGAAGGTGTATGGGTTTCTCCTTGGGAACAAGTACACAGGCAATTCTGCTGTAGACACCAGCTAAGTGCCCTTTAACCCCATTGGGTTCTGACACTAAGATAGGACCAGACTTCACTGTTGCAGGTCCTCAAGGCCCCTTGCCTCTTCTGATACTAGTCACAGTCTGCGTATATTTCCCTGGTTTTTATCAGTCATCTCTAGACCAAGAACCCATCCTAGGTCTCAGTTAACCTGGTAGAGCATGGCTTCCAGGTCACCATCCACACAGAAGCTCATACTTCTTCTTGCTGTAATGTTCTCTTGTTGCTCACAAGGCACAGCCCTATCAGTGTAGATGAAACTTTTACACCCAAGACATAGGGCATTTTCAATCTTATTTGTATCATGAGCTGCTTTTAAACATGTGAATCTGACTAGATTGTTCAATCCTAGGGAGCAAGGTCAATGCCTTGCTCTCTTTGCATCTCTACACAACACTATAAAATCCCTGGCTTACTGACTACAATTGGAGATATAAACTCTTGTTCTGTTGTGGAATAATGCAAAGAATCATTGGCCATCAACATCCAACAAAAGCTGACACTGAGCACCACAGTAAGGTTCAGATTTTTTTACGTTTGAAGATTCAATAATGCAAGCCATTGAGAAGAGTGGCTACAGATTCTACAGATTTCATTACACTGGTCTCAGACCCTTCTGTTAGATATGAACACCATAAACAACATTGTTCAAAATGAAAGTTAGATCTGCTAGCATGTTATAAGACAAATTTCGTACAGTGGATATTACTGGTATATTTTAATAGCACAGAATTTACATGTACATACA